AGTTGGTGCTGCTGGCGCCGGTGCTTCTGAGGGTGCTATTGGAGCTGGAGGTGCTGCAGGCGCTGGTGCTGCCGTTGGGGGTACAGGTGCCGTCCTTGCTGGTTCTGGAGGCGCTGCGCGGCCGAGGCCGTACTTCGTTCCGCTCCTTGAACAGGTTCTTGGTCTCCCGCCCTCTACTGGTCCTGCTCCTCCCTTAGAGTGTCCACAGCCTGTCCAGTCGTAGTCACAGTTACATCCCGCCTCCCCTCTACCTGCTCCTTCTCCCTACAGTGGTCCTACTGGAGGTCTTGCTGAGCGTCGTGAGCCTGCGTCTCGTCCTGCGACGCCTGTTCGTGCTGCTCGCACTAGTGATCGTACTGCGCGTCCGCGTCCTCCTGCAGTCCCTGACACACACCACATGGCACTGCGTCCTTCCAATGCTCCTCTGCGTGTCCCGTTGCCGTCTCCTCCAGAGTCCTCTCTTCAAGTTCTTGCTGACCCGGAGTCTGACTCCCTTCGTGCTGCTAGTCCTCGGTCACGCGCCTTCTTACTACTGTTGTCACTGACCCTTCCTTTGAGTCCACTGCTGCGTCTGCCCTAGTTGCTGAGCTTGTCGACTTCGCTGCTCGCTGTCGTCTAGACTACGCTGCCAATCTCGTTGCTGAGTCTGAGTCGGTCTGTCCTCCGTCCGTCGAGGGTGAGTGTGCTCTTAGCACGGACGTCCTTGAGGACAGGCAGGAGGAGTTCCAGTGCTTTGCTGCTGCTTTGCCCCATCTCGTGTCCACGCTGATTGCCTCTGAGGGAGACTCGAATGCACCAGACATCCCGACTCCTCGATCGTACACCGAGGCGATCGAGGGTCCCTACTCCTCTCAGTAGCAGTCGGCCATGGACGCAGAGATGGCTTCCTGGAAGTCCATAGGCACCTACGTTGACGAGGTTCCCCCACCTGGGGCGAAAATCGTTAGTGGCATGTGGATCTTCAGGGTGAAGCGGTCGCCGGGTTCTCCGCCTGTCTTCAAGGCGCGTTACGTGGCTCGAGGCTTCAATCAGCGGCAGGGAGTTGACTACTTTCAGACCTTCTCTCCCACCCCGAAGATGACCACTCTTCGGGTGCTGCTGCACATAGCGGCTCAGCGCGACTACGAGCTTCACTCTCTTGACTTCAGCACAGCTTTCCTGCAGGGCAGCCTGCACGAGGAGATCTGGCTGCGCCGCCCTCCTGGCTTCACTGGGTCGTTTCCTCCTGGTACCCAGTGGAGCCTTCGGCGGCCAGTCTACGGTCTCCGCCAGGCGCCCCGTGAGTGGCACGACACACTGAGGACTACACTTGCGGCTCTTGGGTTTGCTCCTTCTACAGCCGACCCGTCGCTGTTTCTGCGCACCGACACCTCTCTGCCACCGTTCTACATCCTCATGTACGTCGACGACTTGGTCTTTGCCACTGCTGATACTGCTGGACTCGCCCACGTGAAGTCCGAGCTGCAGAAGAGACACACGTGCACAGACCTGGGTGAACTGCGCAGCTACCTTGGCTTGCAGATCACTCGGGACAGAGCACAGCGCACCATTACCCTGACTCAGTCACACATGGTGCAGCAGGTCCTTCAGCGCTTCGGCTTCACGTACTCCTCGCCTCAGGCCACTCCTCTGTCTACTCGCCACTCGCTCTCAGCTCTGCTTTCGGATGAGTCCGTAGAGCTGAGTGGCCCGTACCCAGAACTTGTTGGCTGCCTCATGTACCTGATGACCTGCACACGACCTGACCTTGCATACCCTCTTAGCATCTTGGCACGCTATGTTGCTCCTGGGAGACACCGACCAGAGCACATGGCTGCACCGAAGAGGGTGTTGCGCTACGTGTGCAGTACGTCGGGCATGGGGCTAGTGCTTGGAGGGCAACATCGAGTGGTCCTCACAGGTCACGCGGACGCTTCTTGGGCTGACGACCAGGCTCTACAGCGGTCGTCACAGGGTTACACCTTCAGCCTTGGCTCCGGCACTGTTTCGTGGCAGTCTACCCGCTCGTCTTTTGTTCTCAGCTCCAGCTGTGAGGCTGAGATCTACGCAGGGGCCATGGCTGCACAGGAGCTACGCTAGCTCACCTACCTGCTGACTAACCTTGGAGAGCCGCCTCGTTCTCCTCCAATTCTGTACGTAGACAACAAGGCCATGCTGGCCTTGTGTCGGGAGCACAGACTCGAGCACAAAATGAAGCACATTGCTCTCCGCTACTTCCTGGCTCGTGAGCTGCAGCAGCGTGATCAGCTCCGCCTCACCTACGTGGCCTCTGAGGCCAACACTGCTGATATCTTCACCAAGGCCCTTCCGCCTTGTGATCATCAGCGCTTCTGTACTTTGCTAGGTCTTGTGCCTACCTGGCCTCACTTGCTCACTTCTTGATCTTGTTTGTACTGTACTCTTGCTATACCTGCACTTGCTTGTTTACCTTTATATATATGATCTTGCATGTGAACTGGCCTTGTGGCCTTACTCTTGTGCTCCGACTGTGTGGTGACTTTGTGATCCACCCTGAGCTTGCTTTGCTTTGCTTGACTGGTCTTGTGACCACTTGTTCTCCCCCACTTTGCCTATGGGGGTGTGTCAGAACATTATAGCTTATACATTTGTGTAGGTTGTAGTGGGGTAGCCCATAAGGGGTACAACCCAATTAGGGTTAGTACTTGTACCCAACTCTTTTATAGTTCATCCATTCCTCTTGTTCTCATCTTCACAGTATTCGCTCCCAATCCATAATATCGTCGAACCCACGAAAGTTATATACAAGCATAAGGGTTCCGTAGATGATTATATCCGTATAATGGTAGGAACTTATTTTCGTTGTTTCGTTGTAGAGAATTATGTCAGAATGTTATTATTATCTAGCCTGTAGTGGGGTGCTCTATAGCGAGTACAACCCTGTTAGGGTTTGCTATATGTATCCCAACTGCTGCTAGTGAAACCCTTCTCTCTTCTTTCATTCTCGTTCTTATCTTCACATGCTATCAGAGCATCTACGGTCCTGGCCTGTGGGCCCACCCAACTGCCTCTGCTGCTACTCTGTGTTCGGCACGCCCCATGGCGTGCCCCTCGCGCTACTCTTAGCGGCCCCGTTGCCGCCCTTCCAGGCCCCTCGCGGCCCCTTCGCGGCCCCGTTGCCGCCCTTCCAGGCCCCTCGCGGCCCCTTCGCGGCCCCGTCGCCGCCCCTTTCGCGGCCCGTCGCCGCCCTTCCAGGCCCCTCGCGGCCCCTTCGCGGCCTCGACGCCGCCCCTATCGGCCCTGTCGACGCCGCCAGCGGCCCCGTCGCCGACCCTAGCGGCCCTGTCGCCGCTCCTATCGGCCCCGTCGCCGCCGCCAGCGGCCCTGTCGCCGCCGCCAGCGGCCCCGTCGCCGACCCTTGCGGCCCCGTCGCCGCTCCTATCGGCCCCGTCGTTGCCGCCAGCGGCCACGTCGCCGCCGCCTGCGGCCCCGTCGTCGACCCTAGCGGCCCCGTCGCCGCTCCTATCGGCCCCGTCGCCGCCGCCAGCGGCCCCGTCATCGCCGCCAGCGGCCCCGTCGCCGTCGCCAGCGGCCCCGTCGTCGACCCTAGCGGCCCCGTCGCCGCTCCTATCGGCCCCGTCGCCGTCGCCAGCGGCCCCGTCGTCGCCGCCTCCAGCGGCCCCGTCGCCGCCACTTGCGGCCCCGGCCCCGCCCCGGCCATGCCCCGTCGCCAGCCACGGCGCACCGGGGGCACGTGCACCGCCCCCCCCCCTTTTCCCGTCGCCCGTCGCGGCTCCTTCGGGGGGCCGCGCGACCTGGGGGGGGGGAGGGGCGAGCGTCGCCCCTTCTGCCGCCTGCTTTGGTGCCCTGGGAGGTCGCGCGTCGGCCCCACCCCCCCTCCTTCCCCCCCCCCCCCCCGTAACCTCCCTGCCCGCCATCCCGCCCTGCCCTGTGTTAGGGTTTGGGGGTGGCGAGTAGGGGGTGACGGGTGTGTGGTCTCCCCTGCTCCTCCTCCTCCTTCGTCTTCCACTGCTGCAGTTGTCGCTGAGGGGGGTGGATGTGTGGGAGCCTGGGGTTTAGGGTTTAAGGGGGGTGCTGTGGGAGTGGAGCTAGGGTTTTGACGGAGGTGGATGTGTGTGAGCCTGCGGTTTAGGGTGTAAGGGGGGTGCTATGGGAGTGGAGCTAGGGTTTGAGCAAGGGGTATGTGTCGAGAGGTGTGGGGCAGCTGGAGGAGGTTGGTTGAACGGAGGTTGTCGTCGTGTCGTCAGCACCACCAGTAGTCCGGGGCACTGCTCCGGTAGCCCAGTCGTAGCCAGCTGTGCCAGTCGCCCGTGGGTCCGTTGCTCGTCTGCCGCTAGTCTTAGCCGCGGAGCCAGCTACTCCAGTAGTCCGGAGCGCTGTTCCGGTAGCCGCTGTGCCAGTGTGACTCCTGTTGCCCGTGTGTCTGCAGCTTCAGCCGTCGCCTCCTATCTCCTCTCCTCTTACAGTCTCGCCTCCTCCTCCTCACTTGCCCTTTGTGAATGACTCTAGCTTTGCTCGCTATTGTGAACTCCTGCTCTATGCCTGCTTGCTCATTGTGCTGATTACACCCCACTTTGGCTATGGGGGTGTGTCAGAATGTTATAATTATCTAGCCTTTAGTGGGGTGCTCTATAGCGAGTACAACCCTGTTAGGGTTTGCTATATGTATCCTAACTGCTGCTAGTGAAACCCTTCTCTCTTCTTTCATTCTCGTTCTAATCTTCACAAATTAAAGTGGTAGAACAAAGGGTGACAGAGCTATACGGTACGGGACAATTAGGCGACCCTGTATACGCAAGTTGTAGGCGCAAATATATGTAAACGCAAGTTGTAGGTGGTGTTCGAAGACCAATGTGCATACGTCTGAAGCACAGACTCTCTTACGGCTTCTGCGCTTAGCCCACTAAGCATTCTGCCTATGTTATCTGCACACTTGTGAATCGTTACCACCTACCGCGCCTGACACCATCCGATTCTTTCGTCTAGTCTCGGTTGCTAACTAATAAATTAGGAATCTGTGAATGGCCGACAGCTCGGTCCACTCTTGCCCCATGGCAGCCCAGGGCGCAGAGGATGGAGAAGAAGACCTGGAGGACGATGAAAATACTGACCAAGACTACGCACAGGATCGCGAGAACGATAGCGAGTTTGAGGCGATCGAGGAGGATTTGTTCCAGGGTGGTCTCTACGAACCATCCGTCCGGATTCAATTCCAGGGGAGTGAAGAAGGGAGTGAAGGGCCGGGAGGCGATGGAGTGCGCCCACGACCCGGTGCGCCCGAAGAACGGTACGAGGAGGATGGAGATCACTCTGACGCAGAAGAGGAGGGAGAATCATCGCCGGGACGACGACGACCTCCCTCTTCTGCGAGCCATGTCGAGCAGGCTGTGGCCCCCGGAAATGCGGAGCGGCAGACCGACGTTGCGGAAAAGGAGAGCAGGATCCGGCGTTCAACAATCCCGCTTCGAGTGATAGAGGCCGGCACGAGAAGGCACTATTGTTTCCACTTTCTACACTTCAAGTGGTGGGTGATAATCTTCATGGCAACTATGGTAGATGTCCCTGTGGCAGATAGGCTTGCCCCCTCTCTGCACGACGAGGTTGGGTTTCATATGAGCAATAACTTGGGAAATGATAGGTGGTCGTGTAGCTCTGACGAGTGGCAGATTCATCTGCACGGGCCGCGAGTCACGGAATGGAGGCTCGGCCGATACATCGAGTATCTCTTCTGCGAAACTGACGAGCAGGCAAAGTTTTTGCGTGGAAAAATGCGGCCAGACGTCGAGAAATATGTGGGGAAGGAGGCAAAGGGGTGCACGGCTTCAATGATCGAGGCAAAGATGAACGCAATGGGATGCCTTGCCAGATGCGAGGCGAGGCTCTACGGCTTCTCCATCACACTGACCAAGGACTGGATCAAGGATGCTCGGGATTATTTCAAAGTCAAGCTGAAGGATCTGAACGATGAGCAAGTCGCGTGAGTAACATATACGTGTGCTTTCTGTTTGTGTGAATGTTGTTCTACATGGTTTACATAATTACTGTGCTATTCTATGCAGGGATGGTCGAGATCAAGCCCGTGGATCAATTGGTGATTGCTATACGGGAAGCCAGTATAGGACGCTGCATCTTACTGTTCTGCGAAAATAGCTCCTACAGATCTGGTGGCGGACGCCTCCGTCACAAATCTCGCTTCCTCTCTGGAAGGCTTTTCAAGTCCCGGTAATGATGCACCTCGGACACCAATTTCTCGGAAGAGGGTGCAGCATTCGAAAGATTCGCCTTGGGAATCTGTTTGTCCGCATGACGCGGAGCACATCACACCTCGACGACTATCTGGACGTTTTCGTACTCGTCGCTGTTTCCAGGAAGTCGAAGATCAACCCCAACAACAAGCTGAGTCATCAGTTTCTTGCAAGGCATAGGGACTGGCGGCTCTGCGGAATGGGCCATGTGTTCCTGTGGCTTCATTTCATCTACGACCTCGTTCCTCTGCACTACGGCCCCGGTATCGTTGAGCCTCTCGACTTTTCTGAACCGATCTTGTGGACTAAAGCGCACCTCTTCTTTTCTTTGAAGAAGGGCGACCAGGGAAAGCAGAAGCAAGACGAGATGCACTACAAAACGCATAACACCTGGATTAAGTGGGCCATGACAAAGGCGAGATGGATTCTGAGCAAGGTGACACATGCATTCCGCAGATCCGGAGTGCAACAACTCCATCACGACGGTTGCTCCGACAACGATATCAGCACTCTGGGCGGATGGGCGCAGGGGGAGTTGCGGACGTGTTATGTCTTTGGCATTCTGTTCAAGCCGGTTTGGCTACTGGCAGGATTCAGCGGGGATCGTGGAGACTACTACATCGGCTGAGCCCGCGCCAAGCTTCCGTGGCATAAGGATAAGGAGAAGGATGAGTGGTTGCAGCTCTTGGATCTCTTGAGGCTTCACATTTTCCCCTGGGTCGAAGAGGGTTGGAAGAAGGTACGTGCTAGTGTACAGTCTTTGCGTTCGTAGCTTAATTTTGATACGCAATTCTGAACCGTCGCATTTCTCCTGCATACTCGTCAAGTCAGGTCGAAGAAGGGAACGCTGCGCAGACCGATCCGTTGAAGAGGCACTATGCGGGGGCAAGGTTCCTTGAGACCCTCGCGAGCATCGGACGCCTCGTTGTTGCACAGGATCTGGCAATGATGTGGGCGTTCTGCCATCAGCACGGCGTGAGAAACCCGCGCTGCAATTGCGAGAGGCATCCATATGTGCAGATGAGCCCCTTATGCAACCACCCGTTGTTCCAAAAGTGGGCGTACCTGGTCGCTATCTCTCACTTCCAGGACAAGGCTCGGGTCATTGCAGAGTTCGAAGCATACAAGAGGTCTGTTGCGGCCAGGGATGACGCGGCAAACACCTCTGCAGAGATCGACGGATCGTCGAAGAGCGCGGGAACAGGAGCAAGCCAAGCAACGTACGCATCCAAAGCTCCAGTTGTCGTGGAAGAATTCTTCGTCGTGGTCGTTGTGTCTTGGCGCGAAGCCACCACTATTGCTGCTGCCACCCAGCTTTGAGGGGGGGACGTGTGAGAGTACGATGGCTTATGAGAAGAAACAAGAATGAATGAACTATAAATGAACTGAGTACAAGTACTAACCCTAATTGGGCTGTACCCCTTATGGGCTACCCCACTATAGCCTACACAATAAGCACAAGCTATATGTTCTGACACACCCCCATAGGCAAAGTGGGGGAGAACAAGGGGTCACAAGACCAGTCAAGCAAAGCAAAGCAAAGCAAGCTCAGGGTGGATCACGAAGTCACCACACATTCCGAGCACAAGTTCATGGCCACAAGGCCAGTTCACATGCAGGAGTACATATATATAAAGGACTCGACAAGCAAGAGCAGGTGTATATATATGCAACAGTACAAGCAAGGTCAAGAGGTGAGCAAGTGAGGCAAGACAGGCACAAGACCCAGCTGCGTGCAGAAGCGCTGATGATCACAAGGCGCAAGTGCCTTGGTGAAGATATCAGCAGTGTTGGCCTCAGAGGCCACGTACGCAAGCCGCAACTGACCACACTACTATACCTCACGAGCAAGAAAGTAGCGAAGAGCAATGTGCTTTGTTCTGTGCTCCAGTCGCTAATCTCGACACAAGGCCAGCATGGCCTTGTTGTCTACGTACAGGACTGGAGGAGAACGAGGCGACTCTCCAAGGTCTGTCAGCAGGTAGGTGAGCCAGCGAAGCTCCTGTGCAGCCATGGCCCCGGCGTAGATCTCAGCCTCACAACTGGAGCCGAGAACAGAAGACGAGTGAATAGCCCGCCACGAAACAGAGCCGGAACCAAGGCTGAAGGTGTAGCCCTAGGACGACCGCTGCGTAGCCTGGTCGTCAGCCCAAGAAGCGTCCGCATGCCCAGTGAGGACCACTGGACTCCGCCCTCCAAGCACTAGCCCCATGCTCGACGTACTGCACAAGTAGCGCAACACCCTCTTCGCTGCACCCATGTGCTCTGGTTGGTGTCTACCAGGAGCAACATAGCGTGCGAGAATGCTAAGAGGGTATGCAAGGTCAGGTCGTGTGCAGGTCATCAGGTACATGAGGCAGCCAACAAGCTCTGGATACGGGCCACTCGACTCTACTGACTCATCCGAAGGCAGAGCTAAGAGCAAGTGGCGAGTAGACAGAGGAGTGGCCTGAGGCGAGGAGTACGTGAAGCCGAAGCGCTGAAGGACCTGCTGCACCATGTGTGACTGAGTCAGGGTAATGGTGCGGCGTGCTCTGTCCCGGGTGATCTACAAGCCAAGGTAGCTGCGCAGTTCACCCAGGTCTGTGCACGTGTGTCTCTTCTGCAGCTCGGACTTCACGTAGGCGAGTCCAGTAGTGTCAGCTGTGGCAAAGACCAAGTCGTCGACGTACACGAGGATGTAGAACGGCGGCAGAGAGGTGTCGGTGCGTAGAAACAACGACGGGTCGGCAGTAGAAGGAGCAAACCCAAGAGCCGCAAGCGTAGTCCTCAATGTGTCGTGCCACTCACGTGGCGCCTGGCCGAGACCGTAGACTGGACGCCGGAGATTCCACTGGGTACCAGGAGGGAAAGACCCAGTGAAGCCAGGTGGGCGGTGCAGCCAGATCTCCTCGTGCAGGCTGCCCTGCAAGAAAGCTATGCTGAAGTCAAGAGAGTGCAGCTCGTAGTCACGGTGAGCAGCAACGTGCAGCAGTACCCGAAGAGTGGTCATCTTCGGGGTGGGAGAGAAGGTCTGAAAGTAGTCAACTCCCTGCCGCTGACTGAAGCCACGAGCCACGTAAGGCGCATTGAAGACAGGGGGAGAACCCGGCGGCCGCTTCACCCTGAAGATCCACATGCCACTGACGATGTTCGCCCCAGGAGGGGGGACAGCGTCAACGTAGGTGCCTGTGGACTTCCAGGAAGCCATCTCTGCATCCATAGCTGCCTGCCACTGAGAGGAGTAGGGACCCTATATCGCCTCCGCGTAAGAGCGCGGAGTCGAGATGTCAAGTGCATCCGGGTCTCCCTCAAGGGTAAGCAGTACGGACACGAGATGAGGTGAAGCAGCTGCCAAGCACTGGAACTCCTCTTGCCTGTCCTCAAGGACGTCCGTGCCAAGGGCACACTCACCCCCGACGGACGGAGGACAGACAGATTCAGACTCAGCGACAAGACTAGCAGCATAGTCTAGGCGACAGCGAGCAGCGAAGTCGACGAGCTCAGCAACTAGGGCAGACGCAGCACTGGACTCGAAAGAAGGGTCAGTGACATTAGTAGCTAGGAGACGCGTGACAGTAGGACTGGCAGCACGAAGAGAGTCCGACTCGGGGTCGGCAAGAGCAGGAAGATAAGACTGAGGAGGAGAAGGCAAAGGGGCACGCAGAGGAGCAGTGGACGGACGCAGAGACATCCGGTGCGTGCCAGGGACAGGAGGAGGACGCTGACGCGAACCGCGACCACTAGTGCGAGCAGCACGGACAGGCGACGCAGGGCGAGACGCAGGCTCACGACGCTAAGCAAAACCTCCTGTAGGACCAGTGTAGGGAGACGGAGCAGGCAGTGGGGAGGCCGGCTGTAACTGTAACGGCGACGGGACAGGCTGTGGACACTCTAAGGGAGGAGGAGGACCAGTAGAAGGCGGGAGACCAAGAACCTGCTGAAGGAGCGGAACGAAGTACGGCCGAGGCCGCGCGGCGACTCCAGACACAGCAAGGACAGCACCAGCACCCCGAGCGGCAGCACCAGCGCCAGGAGCACCTCCAGCTCCAGCACCTCCAGCAGCACCAGTAGTACCCCCAGCAGGACCGCCAGCAGTAGTTTGAGCTCCAACGCCCTTAGCAGCACCAGCTCCAGTCGAACCCGCAGGCCCAGCAGCTCCAGTACTCCCAGTACGAGTACCTCCGGGACCCGCGACAGCAGCACCCTCAGTAGCCGAAGAACCTCCAGCACCAGTAGCACGCCTCCAGCGCCGGGCAAACCACTCGCGCAGCTCCCGTGGAGAGGGCGGCTCCCGCAGAGACGAAGTACCCGGAGAACCTCCAGGCGGAGCACCTCCAAGCTCAGCACCCCCAGGCTCAGCACACCTAGGCTCAGCACCCCCAGGCTCAGCACCCCCAGGCTCAGTACCCCTAGTGTCAGCACCCCCAGGCCCAGCACCCTCAGCAGCACCAGAGTCACCAAAAACCTTGACAAGCTCGACTGCGTCTACCTGGGACACACCTGAAGGGGACGGACCCTGAGGGGGGAGGGGGTCTACCGGAGGGGGACCTGGTACAAGGAAGAGCGGCGGCGGGGGGAGGGACGGAGTGCGGTAGGGGAAGAGGCGGCAGTAGGGGACCGACTCGTCAAACGTGAGGTCCTGGGAGGACAGAACACGGCGAGAGGTGGGGTGGTAGAACTGCCACCCAGGCGCGCCAGGGGGGAACCCCAGGAAGACGCAAGGAGCAGCACGAGGGGACAGCTTGTCCGCAGACAAGTCGCGGACAAACGCTCGAGATCCCCAGACCCGGAACGCCGACGCATCGCCAACCTTCCCCGTCCACAGCAAGGCTGGGGAGGTCTCCGGCCTAGAGACCCTGGGGTGTAGGTTGAGCTGATGCGCCGCGTACCTCACCGCAAACGGCCACAGAAAATGGGGAGCAGTCGCATGCATCATAGACGTACGAGCGACGTCCACGACCATGCCAATGCGGCGCTCAGCAATCCCATTTTGCTGCGGGGAGTCCGGAAGCGTGAAGGTCTGATGGATTCCTCGTGCGCGACAGTAGGCTCTCCGAAGGCCAGACTAAAACTCTCCGCCTCTGTCCGAGTGCAGACGCAGAACAGGAAAGTCCGAGTCAAAGCTCTGCCGGAGCTCGAGACGAGCTGCGCGAATCCAATCGATCAGCACCGCAGTGACATCACCCTTGCTGCGCAAGGGGAAGACTGTGGTGTAACGCGAGTAGTCGTCAACCACCAGCAGGAAGTAGCGCTCGTGACCCTGTCCACGGACGCGGGCTGGGCCCCACACGTCCATGTGAAGCGTCTACAACGGGGCCTCTGTCGGAGGAAACTAGGAGGAGTGAGGGGCAGCCCGCTGGCGCCCCTCGACACAAGGGACACAGGTAGGGCCAGGGCCCTGAGGAAGGGGAGGCAGTGACCGGGGGAGACCAGAAACAAGAAGACGGGAGGCCATGCCTCTGAGCCGAAGCAGAGAGGGGTGACCAAGGCGGTGGTGCCAGAGGAGGGTCTCGTGAGACAGGAGACGACACGAACAGGGGGCAGACTGAGGACCAGACCTGGACGCTGCAGCAAGCACCTGACCCGACACAGCTACCCTACCAGACTCAGCAACTGGAGGAGACGCAGTGGTCAGTGTGTACAGGC